GCCCCTCTGGTAGTCTTTCAGTTCGGTTCAGTTCAGTCATTCAGTCGCGTTGTTAGCCAGATGTTATATAGCTACTAATAAGCTGTTATTTTTAGAAGCTAGATGTCTCAAAACTCAGAGTGGCACCAGGTCCCTCACGCATAACATGCATTTTGAGATAACATTGGCACCAGGTGAGTCAACCTGGGCCATAAAGTGATTGACATGAATCTTCAAGAAAGGCAGGTTTCCAAGTAAATACAGAGTTTCATTAACATAGATTAGGAGAACAATGTATGAGTAAAACATACAGGTTTGTCAAGTCAGTTCTGAGTCTTATGGGGAACTTGAAGACAGAGTCTAAGGTAAATACATAGTTCATTAACATAGCTTAAGACAAACATTTCAGTAAGAAAAACACATTGGTTAGCTCAATGTTTGAGAAAAGTTAAGTTCAGGTGGAACCAGGTGTCATTATAGCAACACATAATTTTAAAAGAAACCTCTTTTTATTTTTATTTTTTTTTTCCATTTATTTTTATTAGTTGGAGGCTAATTACTTTACATCATTACAGTAGTTTTTGTCATACATTGAAATGAATTAGCCATGGATTTACATGTATTCCCCATCCCGGTCCCCCCTCCCACCTCCCTCTCCACCCGATCCCTCTGGGTCTTCCCAGTGCACCAGGNAGCATTAGGGTATCCCTGAGAGGAATAACCTGATCAGCTATATTTTGTGGTATTTCTGAACGTCTCTTGAATCAAAACAATCTTACATAGACTAAAGCATTCAAACAACCCAGTGTTCAATAAAATTTGAGGTTCTGTGTGTTTTCCACTGTTGAAATATTCTACATTCTGTGTCTTGGAATACCTTTTAGAGGCAGCTGCTCTAATCCATAATACCTTTGCTAAGCCTTCCTGTTACGTGTGATTATTCCTTTTAGCTCTCACTCCTTCACTAGGGCTAATCTTTAATTTCTTACGAACTTGTTTCTGTATGCTTTGTTCTCTCTCAGGTTTGCTCATTTGCAACCCGGTGTGAAACATGCTTGCTCTTACGCCAAACGTAATCTTGGACTGATATGTGTATGTCGTGGTGTGTGTTTGAGACCTGTTCCTGGTAGGGTTTTGCATTTAGAAGTAGATCAAAGGACACTGCTTCCTTCTTGGTGGATTTTGAGGTCTATGGCCTGAATTGTGGTTAGAAGTTAATGTCTTTCTTTGTGTTTCTGAGCTCTCTTGGTGGGTCCAATGTAGCCCCCTGTCTGTAAAGCCTTGATGCTTTCACAAGACCTTTGCTACTCTCTGCCAGAGCTGGAGCTAATTTTTATTTAGCGATACTGTCGTTTTTCTTAGTCCCATCAAGGCTCCATTTTTTGATATGGGAACAGCAATTAACTCTCATTTTAAATAGGCATAACTGTGACCTTGTCCACTCCTTTCAGCTGCAGAATGGAGCTTCCAAAAAAAAGTCTGAAGTGGCCTGTGTCTCATTTTTTTTTCAGGTTTAGTGTTTATAGTCCTGGGCCAGTAATTGACAAGTGATAGAAGTTGTTTACTGGTGATCTTGCCAGTGGGAGATTTTTCAGATGTCCTGAGTTTAATAAAGAAGAGATTACTTTGTTCATTTATAGTCCTTATCACTTTAATCTGTTGGTATTAATGTCCACTGTCACTGATCTTTCTGTTGGTGAAGTGGAGAGAATTGAGAGCAGTTGTACTTTTGGACAGAAGCGTTTAGACACACTCCTGTTAAAGTGATGTACAGGGATTTTAAACTTTATTATGTACATGTAATAAAGTACCAGTTCTTGTCCACATTTTCATTTCTCTTAGTTCTGTGTATTTTTATTAACTTGTGTTTTGACAGTCCATTCATAGTATATGTGTTACTTGTCCTTGAATGTTTAGTGTATAATTAGTTTTGTTTGCTGATGAAGATGGCTCAAATGATAAAGAATCTGCTTACAGTGCAAGAGACCCGGGTTCAATCTCTGGATTGGCAAGATCCCCTGGAGAAGGGAATGGCTACCCACTCCAGTATTCTTGCCTGGAAAGTCCCATTGACAGAGGACCTGGCAGGCTGCAGTCCATGGGGTCGCAAAGAGTGTGACGTGATTGAGTGACTGTGCATACTGATGAAGAAATGAGTTTTTAATTACAAGGAATATGCTGTGTCTCAAACTATTCCATTTTCAGGACCTGATTACTTTGATAAATCTATTTTTATCTCTTGTTTTGTCCAGTCAGGTCTCTTTTGTGAAGAACAGCTTGAGAAGCCATTGACTAGAGCATTTATTGCCTGGTACTTCTGTCTCCCTTCCTTTCCCTTCAAGTAATTTCCGCATTGCTTGTCTTTGTTTATAATATCACTTGTACGCTTGTGAGGAATTCCAGAATAAACCTGAGATATAAAATGCTATCTTTGGAGTAGATTGGTTTTCAGTGTTGTACTTTCTGTATCATCTTTAAATATTTAAATTGCAGACTCTCTGGCTGCATCTTAAATTAGATCCTTCACTTAGTAGTTTTGACATTTCATAACCTTGCTCCTCAGGCATTAAATATTCACCTCTTTAAATGGCAGTGAAATGTAAAACCCCAAACCTATCTCTTAATCCAGTGATTGCAGATTGGAGAACACCTTGCATTTGGTGAAGGAAGAAGCTGTTTTGACCCTCCTGGAACATATGCTGGAGGTTCATCCTATCGAAGTATTTCTAATACAGAAATAGCCATAAAACAAAACCATCTCAACCGGTCTTCTCCATGGAGTGTTATTTTAGTCTTGAAGAACCACAAGACAGACTTAACAACTTGAAGTTTCAGATAGCCCTAGAGTCGTTCTCTAGGTAAAAATTAAAGCAGGGCACCAGTTTGAGCTCCAAATCTATAGAAAAATCAGAATCAAGAATTGCTGATTGAAAAAAAAGAATTGCTGATAATTGTTGGATAGAAAAGTTGGTCTAGAAACTGATTTGAATCTCCAGAGTACAAGTCCTTACCCCATTCACTGCAACTCTTCTTCCTCAGTTCAGTCGCGTCCGACTGCGACCCCATGGACTGCAGCACGCCAGGCCTCCCTGTCCGTCACCAACTCCCAGAGTTTACCCAAACTCATGTCCATTGAGTCAGTGATGCCATCCAACCATCTCAGCCTCTGTCGTCCCCTTCTCCTCCTGCCCTCAATCTTTCCCAGCATCAGGGTCTTTTCCAATGAGTCAGTTCTTCGCATCAGGTGGCCAAAGTACTGGAGTTTCAGCTTCAGCATCAGTCCTTCCANATTGCCTTTCTTTGGAATTGGAGTGAAAACTGACCTTTTCCAGTCCTGTGGCCACTGCTGAGTTTTCCAAATTTGCTGGCGTGTTGAGTGCAGCACTTTCATAGCATCATACCTTGGTCTAAATGCATTTTCTGTTTCTAATCCTTTGAGGTGGAAGGAGAGGAAGAAATATTTTCCCTTTCCTGGAATGGAGGATTTTGCTGATAGGAGAATCCTCAGTAAAGCAGGGGAAGGGATTTATTTTAAATCAAAGGAAATAGTAAGCATGTTTGTTTATTGAATAAAGGGGGAGAGGTAGCACATTGGTTTGGGAGCAGAGCTGTTGCCTTTCCTTCATCTTTATTTCTTGGAAGTGGTTGGGGGTGAGGTGGTGGTACATGGCTCATTTGATGGCATTCAAAAAATTAGAAAGTAATAAAACCCATTTCAGAATCCTAATTATGTATGGATATTTTGCCAGTTAATCATAATTAGTGGCCACTCATCCTTTCTTGGGAAAAATTGCTGTAGAAAAATATTAATGAAAAAATGAAATAAAATAACTTTTGACACAACTGTAATTTGTGTGCCATCTTTTTCTGCTGTCTGTCCTCAGTTTCACTGTGTATATATTTAAGAAACAGTTAAGATTCATTTAATTTTTCAAATTTTCAGGACAAATGCACTGATAAGCTGGTTACTATTATGTGGTTTCATGGCAAGAAAACTGGACAAGGAGATAAGGACAGAGGGTTCAGTTCAGTTCAGTCGCTCAGTTGTGTCCAACTCTTTGCTGCCCCATGGACTGCAGCACACCCGGCCTCCCAGTCCATCACCAGCTCCCAGAGTTTACTCAAACTCATGTCCATAGAGTCGGTGATGCCATCCAACCATCTCATCCTCTTTTGTCCCCTTCTCCTCCCACCTTCAAACTTTCCCAGCATCAGGGTCTTTTCACATGAGTCAGTTCTTCACATCAGGTGGTCAAAGTATTGGAGTTTCAGCTTCATCATCTGTCCTTTCAATGAATATTTACGACTGATTTCCTTTAGGATTTCCTTTAGGATTGACTCCTTGCAGTCCAAGGGACTCTCGAGAGTCTTCTCCAACACCACAGTTCAAAAGCATCAATTCTTTGGTGCTCAGCTCTCTTTATAGTCCAACTCTCACATCCATACATGACTACTGGAAAAACCATAGCTCTGACTAGACAGACCTTTGTTAGCAAAGTAATGTCTCTGCTTTTTAATATGCTATCTATGTTGGTCATACCTTTTCTTCCAGGGAGCAAGCGTCTTTTGATTTCATGGCTGCAGTCACCATGCAGTATGAGAAGGCAAAGAGATAGAAAAGAAAGAAAAGATAGATGAACCCCCTGGACAAGGGTTTAGAAGATCAGAATTTTAATCTAGAGTTCAACACCTGTGTATAATTTTAGCAACGTTACTTGCCTTTTCTGTATCTGTTTCACCAGCTTTAAGATACTGATATATGCCCTCCCTACCTCACAGGGTTGTTGTGAGGCACAAAATACTGTATCTGAAAATGCTTTGCAAATGGTGAAGTCCCATAAGCCCCTAAAGTGTAAGTTAAATGGAAATACTGTTGCTACCATGAGTTTCTGTATGATCGAGTCACCCGCGTCCTGCCTGTGGTGATAGGAACCAATTATTTGGCAAAGTCAGTGAAAAACAGTGTTGAGATGGTTTTTTATTGAGAGTTGGAGCCTTATTAGTGTAGCTGTATTCTGAAAATGCACCTGGGTAATCAGGTAAGACATACATAAATGATTGTTATGAAGGAGGAAGCTTATACTTTAAGATCTTCAGAAAGAGGAGGCAGAACATGCCGTGCAGGGTCACATGGGCAGGCCCCAGAGATGGCCAGGAGGCAGAGGGGAGAGGGCAGAGCATGGCCTGCGGCCTTTTGGGGGTCCTGGTGGAGAGCTGAGGACAAGGCAGGACGGGTAGACTGGGTGGGTTTGCACTGGAGAATTTGAAATGCTCTGGATGGCTCTGGGCTCTAGGAGTGGTAGGGCTTCCCTAGCGGCTCAAACGGTGAGGAATCCGGCTGCAGTGCAGGAAACCAGGGTTCAGTGCCTGCGTCGGGAAGATCCCCTGGCGAAGGGAATGGCCACCCACTCCAGTATTCTGGGAGATCCCATGGACAGGGTGGCCTGGCAGGCTGCTGTCCGCAGGGTTACAGAGAGTGGGACAGGACTGAGTGACTGGCACTTTGACTTTCCACTTGATTGTCTGGTACCTGGCCCTAGGCTGATTCAGAGTGGGAGGAATATTGGCTTGGTCTTAGGATTTGATAAAGGAGATGGGCTGTGGCCTCTGGTTTGTATATCAAAGATACCTCCCAGGGGAATTGTTTGCTCTCTAGAATTAACTATTCCTGGGAAGAGAGGTCTCTCCTGGATCAAGGCCGCCATAAATGCCAGAGCATTGAGAATACAGAGGATAAGAAAATGTAGTCAGTATAGGTTGGAATTAAAGTAGCAGTGTGAACTGAAGACCAGACAATGAAAGGAAAAAAAAATGTAGATAACATAACTGACCCAAGTATGTTTTCAAAGCTTTTACATAAGCACTAAATATAAACCCGTTTTCCTAAATATATTTTAGGATAACTTTTAAAACACTCCACCCACACTCCTCTGAAATGCTCAAAGCAGTGAATGTCACTGCATGAGTAAATTATTATGGAGCACAGTAAGGGACTCAGGTTACCCTCCACTTTAATGGTCTAGGTCTTTACCTGCGTTCTTAGATGTATTTAGAGGTGAATATTTATAGTATAGTCACCTGGGTTTTTAGGCTCTGTGCTAACAGAATTTTATGTGGATTAGAGATTATTTGATTATTTACAGCATACCCCATTTGCCAGACCATTGACAGAAATGGTTGAATCCCTGAGTCGGACATGACTTAAGTGACTAACACTGATTCTTCCAAGGAATAATATAGATTACCTATGGTGATCATTTATATATTGGGGCTTCCCTGGTGACCAAGATAGTAAAGAAGTGTAATATATGTGCTCAGTAGTGTCTGACTCTATGCGACCCCATGGACTGTAGCCTCCCAGACTCCTTTGTCCATGGAATTCTCCAGGCAAGAATACTGAAGTAGGTAGCCATTCCCTCGTTCCCTTCTCCAGGGGATCTTCCTGACCCAGGGATTGAACCTGAGCTTCCTGCATTGCAGGCAAATTTTTTTTTACCGTCCAAGTCACCATGAAAGCCCAAAGATGGATACTAATGGTTATAATCAACAGGCAGAAGTTGACCTGTCATGGTACTCCACCAGATGAAACCCAGAGCTAGACTCATTTGGCCATTTTTGTCAGTGGTCTGGCAAATGGGGTATGCTGTAAAGTTTCTGTCCTTGTAGTTAGTCCTTGTAGTTAGTTTCTGTCCTTACTATTAAACTAAAGGAAATGGGGTCAAAATAGCACAAGAGACTCAGAGCTGACTTAAAATTGGCAAAGAGACATTATAGGCAAAGAGGTATCGATCACAATTTGGCAAGATCTAAGTGACTTGATGAACTCTTCCTTGACTGCTCTGTGCTTTGTGAACTGTTGTGGATCCACAACAGATTGTGGGACCAGTGGGGTACTAGATTGGCTTTACTCAGCAGATACTCTAGCATGTGTGATGTGCCAAGTTGATGAGGATGCAGTGATGAGAGGCGCAGCTCTAACTCCTTCACTCCTGGCGTGTCTGTAAGGTGTGCTGATGATACATACACATGGACTTATTCTGTCTTCATTTTGCTAGAAGTTTAGATACTCTGTCTCAAAGGTGGGAAGCCTTTTGAAAGGGCATGTGAAGTCAATAAATCAATAGATGGACTTAAGACCTTTTTAATAAAGATTAAAGAGATTTGTGGACAAGACAATAGACAAGGATGACAGGAGATACAGTCCATTCATACATCTGAGAATTTAAGGATGATAGCTATTTTTTTTATCATGATAATCTGCTTCAAGATGTTTATTTACAATGTGTTTATTAAATAATACAGTGTTTAATTGAAATTGCTAAATAATTTCAGAAAAGGGCATATTTAAATTGTTTAGAAAGTGTGTACCATCCCCCACCCCGGCTGAAGTGGGAGGCCCCAAAACGGGTCACACAGATGTGTCAGATGAATTTAGAATCCGTAAGCGTGACCATTCAGTTGAGCCTAAATGCCTAGTTGAGCAGATTGGCCCCCTGGAGGACAGCTTATTACCAGGAGTCCTACTCAGCTGTGTGCACCACTGGCCAGCTTTGAACATTTACAGACCTGGGGTAGATATGCTCTTCTCTTTGCCCAGGGGAATGGTGTTTCTCACTTGTCAAGAGTTTCTCCAGAAAGGAGTGAAACAGTTCATACTGGACATGCTTGAATATTTTGCTGTATACTCCTTATGGAAAAGCTAACTTGAGGCAGTTTTCGAATTTCGGAAGGAAGGTCACTGAGTGTGCATGTACATTTCGCTATTCTTTTCCAGGTTTCCTATGCTCGCCCAAGTTCAGCTTCCATCAGAGATGCTAATTTATACGTCAGTGGACTTCCAAAAACAATGACCCAGAAGGAGTTGGAGCAACTTTTTTCACAATATGGACGCATTATTACTTCTCGTATTCTTGTTGACCAGGTCACTGGTAAGTAGACAGCCTCTGCTCTGACTGGCAGATGGTGAAATAGTCTGCCTTCTCATACCCAAGTCTTGCCTCTAGATGCATCAAAGGTATATATATGGGCCAGAAAATGCAGTTTTCTGCTAGGATTGTTCATAGAGATGCATGGGTAAGCATAGATAGTGTAGTGAGCAAGCTTGAGTCATTTCCTTCCCAAAGGTGCAGGTTTGGAGCCTGTTTTGTGGTTTATAATAATTATTGCATATAAGTTATTGCAAATAATTATTACAAATTAATAATCTTCATTTCTAAGCTGCTGCATGAAGAAAGCTCCCAACCTCCTTATGAAGCATTAAGTAACAGTCTTACTGTTTGTGAAAAACATAGTTTAACGCTGCTAATTCTCTAAGGGAGAATTACACTACATCTACACTAGTAATTGCGATTAAGACTTTCTCAGGTCCATGCTGTGTTGCATAGGCATGCATAAGAGTTTGAAATTTTAAGTGTTAGAAATTGATTTTAATCTCATATTACTTTTAACCAAACCAAAATAAGAAGAACAATATGTTTATTAAAAATTTTGTGTTGAAGGGAGCTCTTCTGCTAAAGCTTTCACTTAAAGAAAAACTAGCAGTAGAGATTTGATTATGGATCTTAAAAATAAAGTAGAGGCACATTTTTCTATTATAAAAGCAGTATTCTTTCTAAAACATATAAGGAAGCATGCTAAGGAGGGGGGAAAAAAATCACCTGTAGTGCCATATACTAAAGCAGGCACTTTAAGATTTTGTGAGTAGTCTTTTTTTTTTTTTTTTTAAAGAAAATAGGTTTTTCTCTTTTCTGTATGATTCTTCTTTTGTCCTTCCCTCCTTCACTATCCCTGTTGTCTTTTTCTCTCCTCTTCTGTCTCTCATAATTAGAGTACCAGTGGAAATAGTTGTGCATTATAATGTGTGATTATATTTGTTAAGAAATGATGGACCACAGAATACAGTCAGGCCAGTTTTTTTAATTCTGCAAGTGATGATCAATTTAGTTGATCTGAATTTAATCAGAAGCATCCTTTGTTATGTTCCTCTGTGCTGTTCATTAGCTTCTTACAGAGTCTGAACATCATACTTCTGAGTTCTGAGTATAGTGGTATCTACCATCATCCATATGCTTGGGAGTGGGGCCTGTAGATTTTACTGTATGGAGAGAATTAGTCCAGTGAGGGTATATAAAAACATGGTCTTAAGTGCTCGGGCCTGGTACACTGGGAAGACCCAGAGGGATCGGGTGGAGAGGGAGGTGGGAGGGGGGACTGGGATGGGGAATACATGTAAATCCATGGCTAATTCATTTCAATGTATGACAAAAACTACTGTAATGATGTAAAGTAATTAGCCTCCAACTAATAAAAATAAATGGAAAAAAAAAAAAAAAACCCCCCCAAAAACATGGTCTTCTTAGCTATGTTTCATGATTTTCATACATTCTATCATGGTGTATTATACACACAGATGGCAAATGGGGTTGAATAGAAGTCCAGGCCTAACAATGCAAATATATTTGTTTAGAGCAAAATAAAAGGGCCTTTTGTTTGTATTCATGCTTTTTAATTCATTCATTCTTAGTGAGGACTTGAATCAAAAGTCAGTTTCACCTGTGATGCAGAAAGCCATTTCTCAGCTGCAGGTCCATCCCGAGGGTGTGGGCTCACAGGAAGACTATGCAGCCACCTCCTGATTGAGTCAGTGTTTCTCAAGTGTGGTTCTGCACCTGCAGCAAAGCACCCTCCTGGAACCTTGTTAGAAATGCTGGCTTGGGCCCCCAAATCTAGTGAATAAAACTCTTAGAGTGGGCATTTTACCAAGCCCTTTGGGCTGTTCTGATGCATGCTCAGGTTTGAGGACCATAAGTTTAGGTGACTCATCCTAAACTGAGGCTGTTTCACTGCTCATCTAAGGCTTTACTTATGGAATAATCAAGTTTTAGGGGTTGTTCATGCTTAATAGATAATGGAAAGGATAGATTTGGTGTCATTTCACCATTTCATCTTTACACTTAAGACTTTCAGTATGAAATTGTCCACTTTACCTAAAATGAAAAAATCCTGCAATTTTGTTATTTGTTATACAGCCATCAGGTGTTAATAATGTGCATGCAGCAGGTAATAGCTTAAAAATAGGGAAGGTGAAGTGATAGGGGCTGAGATAAGTGCATATGGGGGGAAAATGCCTTACCTACCTTAAAATAAAATTCTGAGCCTTTTGACTTACACAGTATTGATTATAAAGCAAGCAGACCTTTATTCTTTTTTAAGGTTCCTATAAATCATAATGGTCTAATGCTTTTTCTTAGCCTTTCTTTCTTAATTGCTTCTCACTCTTCCTCAGTCACATACTCTGAATTATCTAGGCTTTTCCTGCTGCTAGTCCCAAGTCAGTACTGCTGCTACTGATTTGTTTTGCCAGGAAAGTCTTTCCCTGCAACTGCTGATCCCATGATGGCCAGCTCTGGCCACCCCAAATAGTCTGTTAAGCTAATTAAATGGAATGAGTTGGGTTTCTTGCTGCCATTTCTCAAAAGCTGGGCAGGTACTTGGCCATCCTTCTGCTTCCCCCCTTCTTGTCTCTCAAGGTGGGGAAAGCGTGAGCCAGGGAATAGCATTCTGTAGTCAGAAGTAATGCTGTCAAAGAAAGCAAGCTTTGAGGCTTTACTTCTGTCTTGTTTATTTTTACTCTTACCTCCTCTTTTCACTCTTTTACTCCCATATAATATTATTTCTCTTTCTCTAATAGAAAAGAGTCAGTTAAAAGCAGTGGGGGAGCTTCAGGGAACCAGAAAAGCCTCTTCAGGCATTTCTCAAAGGGTCAGTAGCCTGTATAATTAAGTAGAATTTTATTATTTAAAAGTGTAGCTGAAATATGTTTTTCTACCCCTGTGCATATATTTTTAGCATAGCTTTATAGCATTTTTAGCAAAGGCTTGGTTCTCTTCTCCTTGTTGCAAGAGCAAGCGCTCCTCTGCCCTCCTTTTCTGAATTGTTTGTCCAGTAGCTTAATTTGAAAAGTACAAGTCAGTCATATGGTTGACATTATTAAAGAATGCACGAGAGGGAGAGAAGAAGGTGGGGAAAGAAACGTGGACATACTTGTGCGCTTTCTTCTTCTTCCTGGCTTACTGGTAGCATGTGGTAATGGACTTTAAAGTGCATTAATTTAATTAATGCATTTCATGTATTTAAAAAATACAAAATTGTAATGCTAGACTGGATTGCTACTAAGTAAAGGTGAAGCTTTTCTCCTGGTGTGATTTTTGTGGCAGATGTTACATGTGGGTGAAAACATGTTCTTGAGAAGGGAAAATTAATGTATCCTTTCTTCTCTCCCTCCTGTCTCCTTCCACTCCCTCTTTCCCAAATCCTTACCCACATCTACCTTAGGCATATCAAGGGGTGTAGGGTTTATTCGATTTGACAAGCGGATTGAGGCAGAAGAAGCTATCAAAGGCCTAAATGGCCAGAAACCTCCTGGTGCCACAGAGCCAATCACTGTGAAGTTCGCTAATAATCCAAGCCAAAAAACCAATCAGGCCATCCTTTCCCAGCTGTACCAGTCTCCAAACAGAAGGTACCCAGGCCCGCTAGCCCAGCAGGCGCAGCGCTTTAGGTAAGTCCGGTCTGCTGCTCACACCAGCGCACTCAGGGGCGCTGTCCAGCACTTGTAAGAGAGGATCTCCGGCTTGCTCTCACGGTTGTTGTTTTCTTTCTTTTTCTTATGGACACAGGGAAAGCCTACTTGGGGTTTAGTGTCTTGTGGGTTATCCAAGGTGGGGACAAAAGTACAGTAACCTGCGGCGGGCAGTGGTTCTCAATCGGAAATAGTTTTGCTCCTCTGGGGGTGCTGACAGTGTCTGGAGACACTGATGGTTGGCATCAGTTGGGTGGGGATGACTGGCATCTCGTGGGTGGAGGCCACGGGTGCTGCCCATCATCCTGCAGTGTGCAGTAAAGCCCCCCTACACCAGAGGGCTATCTGGTCCCAAACGTCAGTGGTGCTGAGGCGGAGAAACCCTGACCTGCAGAATAGTGGGGGTCTTCGTAACTGTTTTCATTGCTTCTGATTTCCCTCATTTAGGTTTTTACTTTAGAAGGCCTTTTCCTTGTGTTTTAATTTTTTAGGTCAAGCTCATTCAATTACTTGGTTTTATTATACGTTCACAACTAAGGATATATAACTTATGTGATTACATTATGCTTTTATAAATATATCCATCTTCCCTTTTTAAGTTTTTAATCTTTGCAGTTTAGAGGTTGGCAAATCCCTGTAAAGGCCCAGATAGTAAATATTTTAGGCTTTGTGGCCACAGTATCTGATGCATGTCTTTTTAAAAAAATAAAACAACTCTTTAAAAATGTAAAAACCATTCTTAGCTCTTGGGCTATAGAGAAACAGATGGCAGTCTGGATTTGGCCTGTGGGTGGTAGTTTTCTAACCTCTATAGTCCATGGAATGACCATGCATTTTTAGCCCAGAGAAGATATTCTATCTCATAGACAAGTTAAATATTCTAATTTTTCAAATTTTATTCTAATACTGGGGAACCAACCAAATCTAGTCATTAAAAAAAAAAAAAATCCTTAATATGCATGTGAGGAGAATGGTGACTTCTAGATGTTAAACAGAGCAGAGATACATAAGTAGCTTTTATTTTCTGGAGCATTTTTAAGATCCTTTTTTGGCCATATGGTATACTGCAGCCATAATGCCATCTAACCTCCATGCTAGTATTTTTTTGTTCTTTATCAGAAGTGCATTATTTCCTTGCTGGGACAAAAATATAATCACAAATTTAACTTAATAAACAAAGATTTATATTTTCTAGTTTATATCATGTGCATTTTTTTTTCCTTTCTTTTTCTATTTTTTGTGCTCGGGTATTTAGAATGCTGAAGAGAATAAAGATAAAAATCAGTCAGATGTCTTCTTTAAACCTCAGTATGTCACCTGAGGGGTGAAAGGGAAGTTTTCTGTAAACATGTTCAGTTCTTACTTGAGGTGGCTTTTGCTTTGGGAGGAAATGTTGTACTTTTCATCTGGAGGCTTCATCTGGAACTGGATGACTTGGTATCCGGTTGACTGAGCCTGGCGATCACTTCACTCTGCTTCAGCTTTGCATGGTCAGAAGGCATTGGCAGAAAGGAAACAGTGCCACTTTTGTCTGTGGTGGTTGGTAGTAGTGACTGGGCTGGAGGAAGAGATGAGTGGAGCCGCCCTTGTGGAGAAAGAAATTTCCCAGAGTCGTTTCTTAGCTCTGCTTGTAGGTTTCTTCTGTGGCATCTTAAGTGAGTAAACTTTTTTTTTTAATTTAGCACAGACATGAATGAAGGAATTTTAGAGATTTTTCTTGGGCAGCCTATCCAATTAACCCCAGAGCTCTTTGAGGCCCAGTAAGGAATTTTGATCTTAGGTACAAGAGAGTTCTTTGAAACTTACTGGTTGATTTTAACACTGAAAATACCACATGATTGATGTTAGAAGAATGCTACATGCGTTTAAATTGTTATTTTTGGTGTTTCCTAATTTAAGCTCTGGTTTTTGTTTTATTGTAGTTATTGAGTAAAACTATGCTCTTAAAGTCAAGATTGAGTTTTAAGAAAGGCTGGGCAAGAGGACTGAAATGATAGTATCTTCAGGAGAATGCCCGATTATTGAAATGGCAAGGCTTTTGTAGGTGACTCAGATATTAGGTTGTCTAACTATTTTATCTGTTCTCACTTTGATCTATCCCCCTCCATACATGTGATGTGGTGTTGTTTTTTTTAATTAAAAAATGTTTTATATTGGATAAAGCTTTACAGGTTGTTCTGATAGTCAGATTTAATATTTTAAAAAACTTGCCCATTCTGTGCTTTTATCATTTAGTTCCATCTATTTTTTTTTTAATTTAGCACAGACATGAATGAAGGAATTTTAGAGATTTTTCTTGGGCAGCCTATCCAATTAACCCCAGAGCTCTTTGAGGCCCAGTAAGGAATTTTGATCTTAGGTACAAGAGAGTTCTTTGAAACTTACTGGTTGATTTTAACACTGAAAATACCACATGATTGATGTTAGAAGAATGCTCCATGCGTTTAAATTGTTATTTTTGGTGTTTCCTAATTTAAGCTCTGGTTTTTGTTTTATTGTAGTTATTGAGTAAAACTATGCTCTTAAAGTCAAGATTGAGTTTTAAGAAAGGCTGGGCAAGAGGACTGAAATGATAGTATCTTCAGGAGAATGCCCGATTATTGAAATGGCAAGGCTTTTGTAGGTGACTCAGATATTAGGTTGTCTAACTATTTTATCTGTTCTCACTTTGATCTATCCCCCTCCATACATGTGATGTGTTGTTGTTTTTTTTAATTAAAAAATGTTTTATATTGGATAAAGCTTTACAGGTTGTTCTGATAGTCAGATTTAATATTTTAAAAAACTTGCCCATTCTGTGCTTTTATCATTTAGTTCCATCTATAATTAATGTAGAGATTCTTCCTTTCCTTGTCTCCTATTAAAAACTAATTTTGGGAAAAGGGAATGAGACTTGTCTGTAAATTTTAAGGGAAACATGGTTTCAGAAAATGGGAAAGATGTTTATTGTCCTTTCAGATTCCTAACTCTTGTCTCTGTCACCTGACTTCCCATTCTTCTCATATCCATCTTCAGATAATAAATTATGAACTAGTCTTTGAGCTCAGTGAAGGCATTTGGTCTAGATACAGTGTTAGAGGAAATTGAGAGCTTCTATTCCTAGGGTTCAAGTTTAGCCTGATGTGTGTTTGGCTGTTTTTCTTTAATATCTCTGAACCTGGTCTGTTATTGCCTTGATTTTTTGCCCCCCTTCCTCTGTTGAATTAAGGTCGAATCTTCTTTCATCTCATAAACACCCTTGAATGAGGGACCGGCTTGCTTTGTTGGTATGTCGCTCTGCTGTAGTTCAGGCCTAGTTCATTACTTAGATCTTTTGTTCCTCGTATCTGTGTTTTAATGCTCTTAGCCTTGGGTTTGTCACCTTCTTGCCAACACTTAAAAAATTTTGCACTGTGTTTTTCTGTTATCATAGTATCTCGGTAGTTGAGAGAGACTGGAGAATACAAGTTCTAAATATTAATAGTCAGGGATGTTTTTTAATATTTATGAAATGGACCATATCTTTTAAGGCAAAAAAATTAAAATCTATATAGTAAGGGTTGAGTTTAAAAGTGGACTTATGGTGTTTATGGCTCAGTCAACCTGTATGAATAATTAGAAAATTATTTTAACATGAGCACTGCTGATCTAATATGCTTACCTAATTGACTGCAGTTTTCAGAATAAGACCAGCCTTATTTATTTGGATGGCTACTGTGAGTCCCTTAAGTATATTCCTGGGGTATGGTATCTGAATTAAACTTCCAGCCAAAGTTTTTTTCATCTCTCTTCTTGTGGAGCAGCCTTAATTTTATTAAATGTGATCTAGTCTAATGACCTGTGTGCCTGCTTCTAGAAGCCTTTATGCATTTTTAAAGGAGCTTCTAAGTCAGCACTTGAGATTCATTTAAGGCATGTGCTGCTTGCACTATCACAGCTTCTTTGGGGAAAAACTGGTGTCAGTCCTCCTGAATAATTTTTTTCTCTTTTGGAGGAATTAGATAAGGACATGAATTGATGATCTTTTTGTGGGCTAACTTAAAAGCAGTCTTGGTTGGTGATCTTTAGAGAGGTTTTGAGAGCCACTATTTGTAGAGTTCAGAGTTTTGTTTTCTTAACCCATTAACAATCTGTTTATATTTTTTTGTTTCTGACTTGGACTGACATTTCCCTTTACCTGCATGTAGACCCTAGCATAGTCTGTCAGCTGAATTTCTTGGAAACTAGGCACATATCTTCTTTTTATTCTCTACTTATAAATATCTAGCTTTGAAATGGGAATATGTTTCTATTCAAAATATTGCCCACATATAGTCTGATACATCATAAACTATATGCACATGGGGGCTTGTGCTAGTACATTCATTAATTCATAAACGTTAATCAAACATAATAAAGAGAAGGATGAAATAAACAATGTATCAGTGTTTTGCTAATTATCAGGCTGACTCATTTTCCATGTATGCAATTAGTAAATATTAAATAATACACCTTTGAAGCAAGAGTTATAGAATTATGATCTTGATGATTTAACATTTCTTGACTGACTTCATGTGAGACATGTTTGATTATTTTGTCTAACCTCAGTGTAACTTATCCTAGGAGCAGGAGGAATAATCAACTCTCCCTTTTCTTATTTACTCCAGCTTTCCTTACAGGTGTCACCCTCACTCAGATTATGATGGTGATGATGATATTGATATTTGCAGGAATCTCGTAATCTACCTCTCCTTTGAGGGTTGTTGTGGTTACAGCAGTGTTTCCCAGTCTAACCCTTCAAATCCACTTAGCATGTTATTTGTGAGTGGATTGTGTCCACGCTGCAGAACAGGTGGTTGTGTCCCTGTCCCTTTGAGGACCGCCAAGTTGTCCCTCAGGAAAGTATGTGATGCCTGGGACTGATGAGGATGTTGGGTGCAATGTGTTGGTTCAGTAGGAATAAAGATTGTTTTAAGATGAAGAGTGTATTTTTAATGGACTCTTTAATGTTATTGGCCACACCGCTGTTCATCATCAGGCACGTTCCCCTGGGACATTCCAGAGGCCACTAACTTAGTCTCCCTTAAAAATTGGTTTCAGTCATTAAAAGAGCATATTACAAAAGGTGGCTGTCTCTGAACTCTGGACAGACCCCGGAGAAATAGATGATTCTGGAGAGCAATAGTGGCCCTTGTGTCTCAGCTAACCACCTGGTTGACAGTGTTCTAGCTGCTGCAGGACTCGGGGTGCCTGCGGGCCCAGGGGAGCTCACACGGCCTTCTTCCAGCCCCCGTGGGGCTGCTGAGAGCAGGGAAGGCCACCAGGCCCAGCTGCGTGCAGGCAGGGCTTTTCAGCATTGCTGGGGTTCTGATTCTCAGCTGTGGTCTTCCTCCCAGCTCTCCTTGTTGACGGGAGAGGAGGGAGGGGGGTCAAGAAGAGCAAGGGAGAGAGAGAGAGTTAAGTAACTTGCCTTGAATTCCACAGGACTGACTTTTTCCTAAAATGGATATTGAGCAAAGATATCGGTGGTCAGGATCATGGTGTCTTACCGGGTTTCACAGGCAGGGCAAATACTAGGCCCATTGAGGGAGTCCTCAGAGATCCTAGTAGAGAAGTCTCCTGCCTGGGGAATCCCGGCGTGGAGAGTGACAGACGAGATCTCTCCCTTTAATGCATGGAGTTCACTTCTAGTGCAGTTCTGGTTTCTGCCCTGTCTTGAAAGTACTGAGAACTCACTTGGGAGTTTCCTGTCGCTGGACTTTGGGCTGGTGTCGTAGCTGGTGGTGACAGAGAGTGCACGTTAATGTGCAGACATGACGTGACTCTGCTTTGGTGTCTGCTTCCGGGTCATTGAGTGCTTTGGAAGGAGGCTGCAGTAAGCTGTTCCATTCTACAGGCATCACATGCCAAATGCACTCTGGACTGGTCGTTCCAGCATTTTTATGAAATTATCTGTATCATTACTTTATGGTTGGTAATTTTGTTTGCATCTCTATTTCTGGTATTTGTGGCCTTTATTTTGGAGTACAAAGATGTGGCATCTTTGACCAAACAAAACCCTCCCACCTCTTTTCCCTTGCATGTGCAGACAGGCCCCCCAGCCTGCCTTCCTAATAGTTCTTACTCTGGATTACATAATTAAGGATGCTGTTAGCAGCCTCATTGCTTTTATTCAGTCAGCAGATACTGATGGTAAGCCTGCCATGACCCAGGCTGTGCTCCATGCTTAGTAATGAACGTGTCGCTGCTCCTGAGAGGGTGGGGGGAGAAGGTGCACACGCCACATGGTGCTCCTCTGTCACTGCGGTCTGTTCCTCTCTCTTACTAAAGGTATTTTGCATTACATCAGCTTGATTCTTTTCAGTTTTACAAAACACTCAGATGTGCAGAAATAATTGGGAATAGGAACATAAGAAGATTCTTGGTCTACTTCTGAAAGAGCAGAAGAGGGAGTCTTGGGGTTTCTATAAAACTAGGAGGCGCTGTTTGCTCCTCTGTGCTCTAGCCTCACTTGAGGCCACAGGTTAGATAATAAGGTTGTAGCGTTTTTCAAACTAAGCAGTTCGTAGGTGTTAAAAGAAGAAATTGTTCCTCAACACAGGCACGCACTTGGGGAGTGTTGAACGTGATGGCATCGAACATTGTGACATGTTAAGTTACGGTTACTCCTCCACAAACGTCATTGACTGGTAAACGTTGTGGAGATAGAGAACGTCAGAATGGTCTCTTTGAGACTGATAAAGCAAGAAGAATCAGGTCCTGTAACATCAGTTTAATTTTTGAGACAGGAAAAGGGTAAAGAGTTTTAAAAGAGTACCCACCCACTGCCATCTACTACTTTTAAAAAAAAATTGTAAGAGAAGGTCAAGTTAGTTTGTTTCTATCTACCTGATCTCTTCCATCTTGAGTCTGTACTTCTTGTAGAACAATCAAACATCAGGCTGGGATCTGATCCTTGCTTTATTGCTCAGTGAGTCTGTAGTCTTATGTTCTGTGGACTTAGCTGAGCATATTGAGAAATGGGAGGTTTGGCTGAGGTTGTGTATAAGATTCTTTTTATCTGTACTAGTTACACTTTGATTTTTAGAAATGAAAGTCCTTTGTATTTGGAAGGTTGAGGGGAAATTATGAAATTCTGTGTAAACTGCAGAATTTGAGTATCAATGCCACTGCTTTCTAAACCTTTTGGCCTTGGGCGACTCCCTTAATCTAAGTGCCTCATGATCCTCAGGAACCAACAGCTGTGAAAACTAACAGTAACAAAGACTGTGTAGGTGAATGTGGGGTGCTTAGAACTTGGCTGCAAAGGTGAGAACCCAAATGATAACTGTTTCACAGCCCCCACATTTCCTCTCAAAAGGGTTTTCTGAGATGACCACCAGTGATGTCCCTGCATTGCACTGACCTAGGGATTGAAAGAACTGCTGTCATATGGCAGTGGTACCCATTTGCTCAGAAATGTAAGAAGACCCACTCTTTTGAGACTTCACATACAGTTAACATATAAACACCCCCCTTGGAAGATGGCAGTAACGAGCCCAGCTTTCTTGGACATCAAGGGGAAAAGTTAAAAACTGAAGTTTGCTGAATGTGTGTTTTGCAGGTTGGACAATCTGCTCAATATGGCTTATGGAGTAAAGAGGTAATGATAGAGGTTCATGATACTCATAATCCCCTCCCATAATTGATTAGTTTCTGTGATTTGGGGAGTGACAGCCATTATAAGTTTGTGTTGGGTTTTCTTTTGCATGTACAACCTAATGAAAAGCTGTTTCATGAAGCACGGTTGACTCAGAGTATTTTTATACCACTTGATGCCTGCCACCTGGTGTTTAAAAACCTCATTATTTGTTTTCTATTGCATTGCAGCATTACAGCATGTTTATGTCTGTGTTGGTCCTTCCTGCTCCCAATCCGCTTAAGTTGGTGAAACCAGTTCCAAATATGTTTCTTTTTCTCTTGTGGATAGTATTATTCAATACAGCATATAATGGCCATTTCATGACTTACTAGTATCATGATAGTATAGCATGCTGCTGCAAGCCACACATGGACTTTGGTTGAAACATCAAATAGTTGTGTGTACCTGTTGAGGGGAGGGGAGTTGGGAAAAGAAATAAACCCATTGCTGTAACCAACCTCTGTTTCTGTTTTGTGTCTGTGTGTGTTTCCTATTTTGTTCAGTAGGTTTTCTCCAATGACCATTGATGGAATGACCAGTTTGGCTGGAATTAACATCCCTGGGCACCCAGGGACAGGGTGGTGTATTTTTGTGTACAACCTGGCTCCTGATGCAGATGAGAGTATCCTGTGGCAAATGTTTGGGCCTTTTGGAGCTGTCACCAACGTGAAGGTCATCCGTGACTTTAACACCAATAAATGCAAAGGTTTTGGATTTGTGACTATGACAAACTATGATGAGGCTGCCATGGCGATAGCTAGCCTCAATGGATACCGTCTGGGAGACAGAGTACTGCAGGTCTCCTTTAAGACAAACAAAACGCACAAAGCCTAATGAGCTCTTGTCCTCAGTCCATTTATATATGAAAACTATACAACAAAGGCAAGTTAAGAGAAACTTTATACATTAGTAAATGTCTTTGTAAGTCAGTGTTGAGATGGGGATAAAACGACTACTTAGCATCCTAAGAAATATGTGAGATTTTTTATTGCTAGTATTTGAATTAAAACTTCTTAAAATATCTTTTATGTTTGAATATGGACAAGAGGTACAGGGTTTTTACCTGTCACATTGCATTTTATTGCCTTCTTTGAAGAAGGTGGACCTTTTAAAGTGTTTCAGCTAAGGGAAGACATTTCTTTTCTTTTTACATAACTGCCTTGAACCTGTGAGTAAATATTGAGGCTTTGTGTTGTAATTCTTCAGTTGGTTGTGTCCTTTCCCCCCCCCTTTTTTTCTTTTTCTGATTAGCTTTGTGTTTGGTTTACATTTAAAGCATTGCTGTTATGTCTAAGAAAAGTATTTTGAAGTTTACATTTTTATTTATGAAGTTAAAAACAGTATTTATTTTGTAATTATGATTTGGGTTGGGGAAGGGGGGGCTACATTATAAACGCTTATTGTAAGAATACTGGAGAACTTTTCGTAAAGCAGTACCTTGCCAAAGAGATAAGAGCCTCTTTGATGTGGGTTTAAAAAAAGCATCTATTTTTATAAAAAAGAAAATTTGGAGAAACTTTTTACTGGTCCTGGAACAAATATTTTGACTTGAATACTTTGAGAAATCTCTTCATATGACACCTAGTGAGCTTTTAAAATTTACCAGGAAATTTGCAGTGGTTGGAAAATTTAGAAAGATTTATGATGTAGAAAATACTTTTGAGATCTTTGTATGAAAGGAGTAGAATCAATGGGGGAAACACTGCTGGTTTCGTTTTTGTAATCACCAGTGTAGCGTCTGATCATCCTGGTTATTACCTGATAGGTGGCTCACATTGATTTGTGATTTTGAAACAAATAAAAAAAAAATTTACAAAAGAATATATAAGAGCAGGCAAGAAATTTAAATTACCAAGAGATGGGGGAAAAAAAAATCTGTTCTTCCTAAAGAAATCCCTTCAGATAGAGCTCATGGTGTTTAGTGATGTACTTGCAGTATTGTTTGAAGAATTGTTTTGTCTTAAGGAAAAAAAGATGTTGCACATGATTTGTACTGCAGCAAATCGGCAAAAGTGATCTGAGTTGGATATATTTGAAGGTATTTTGAAAGTTACGTTCAAGGCTAACACCTGAGCTTTGTGTAATGTAAATAAGACCTTGTGTTTATGAACCTTTCAGCTAATTTGATTTTTTTTTCCCTTACATGCCAAGTGATGTTCAGGTTTTAAATGTTTTTGTATCAGTTTTTTTCCTTTGTAAATGGCATTAACATTGTTACTTGAGGTCTTGCTTAATCACTTTTGTTGTCCTGAGGACTTGAATTTACAGTGCATCAGATTTGTTGCTAATTTTGTCTGTAGATAGTCTAGCTTCTGCTGTTTATGGTGATGCTACATTTTCGTTTATAAATATGTTTGTGGTAAAAAAAAAATGAGTATAACCATAGGTTTTGAACAAATTTCCTTACATTTTTCATACAAAAATCATAAATATCTGTATGCTATTGAAATTTAACTTTGTATGATGCTTAAACCACTATTTGGGGAAATAATAAAATAAGTCTTTACCATGTATGAAAGAAATTTTAAAAAATACAAAATATTTTCTGATTAGCATCTAGCTTATAATAAATTTTCAAAAAAGCTGAAGGCAAAAATGCCTTCATCAGGATGCACTGAGAACTATATAGTTACGTCCTGCTTTTTGTATAAACTGAGATGCTCACACGCTTCCCCTTAGAACAGGCAACGTGCTATGCATAACATAGTTGTACATTATCTTTGCAGTTGCGTTGTTTTATTTTTTATTATTTAAAATTGTAGTTATAAAATTTTTCAGTATAGTACAGTACATATACTGTGAGGCGCGTGCTAAAGTGAATAAGCGAGTTTTCATGTTGACCCACTCAATGCTATTCAGAAATCAATTGGCTTAGCACTTTCTCATATCCTTAGGTGCATTTAGATTGTCAGAGTTAACCTGCGTTTAAAAAAAAAAATAAAAAACGAAATACATGTATATACTTAAAAAAAAATAAGGTTTCCCCTCCCGGGAAAACAGCAGCTACATGCTTCTTTCCTATACTACTGTAGCAAACCAAGGCATTGATGAGAGGGCATGCAAATTGTGCTTCACTTCACAGTGTTTATCAGAGCACTTAATAAAATGTAAGGCTGGTATTTATTTGAAGTTGTACAGTATGACTTAATTCACATCTGTTGGAATAGAAAATATATTCTGTTGAGTATTTAAGAGGCTGTACATGTTTTCTTTTGTGTTTGGATTCTTTGTACTTTTTCATGTTCAGTACATCAATAAACAAAGTTGAAGGGAAAGAACAGTGTGGTGAGTAGGTCTTTATACACTTTTGGGGGCTCCTGTGCTCAGTCTAATAAACTTGCTCTCTTGAGCTAAAAGAGGTTACCTCAGAGCTCTCATTGAAAGCAGTGTTATTGAACAGATTCCAAAAAGCATGTTACGTGAAATAGAATGTGCAAAAATTTTTCTTTCAATGACAGCTTCCTATTATTTTTCAAATATTACTTCATGAGTCATTCTTATAAGGATATGTGCTTTTATTGGCTAGTTGTAAAGTAATTGGATGCTGACATTGTTCTATACCCCCAACTTAATAACCATCAACTTAAAAAAAAAAAAAAGAATGGAAATTGTCCTCACACATTTACTTGAGCTAAAGAAAACCAAATAGAAGGAAGGTAACTTACTCTGCTGCCACTGACAAGATTTAATTCACCCACAGCATCAGCTGCTGTTGAGTGAAACTTGCTTTTGTCACTAGTGCCAGATTGTCAGACTCATCTGTAAAATCAGAGAAACTCCCATTTCCATTAGGTTAGGTTGATGTATGTAGTACATGTGTGCATATCATGAACTCTGCCAGCGTGGCTTCACGTATATATTCAACAGTGGTAACACATCCTTAAGAGATCCCTGGAGGAAGAAAAAAGATGTCTTGCTTATCTTTTATATAAAGACTCTACTTCTGTAGAAGTTAAGAAATACGTTAATGAAGTACTTTTTTCTTTTTTTTAACCAAAGTGTACTAAATGGCTTCTTTTAATTTGATTTTATCTGTCAGCTTTTTGGTAAAAAGCAAGTCTAAAAGTAATTGTCCTGAATTCACAGCTTGGTCGTCAAGAGCTTAGCTGAGTGACAAGACAATTCCTTTTCTTCCAACATGCAATTAATCTCAAATCTCCATACTCCCTTTTTTTATTATATGAATTTAATACTCTAATTTTGTGATGTTGGAACAGCCTCCCCTCACCTCTCTCCTCTTGCATGGGTATCAGTATTTTGACTGGTTTGCATGTCAGCAGTTCTTTTATATTTGAACAGATGGGGAGAAGATTCTCAGTATAAGTTTTGTGACTACTTGGTGTGCTTGAGGAAAAATATTTTTTTCTTAGAATCCCCTCTCACCTTCTGCTTTCAAATCATCTAGGGTGTCATAATCCAGTGTTAAAGTAGCTGATACAAATTTTTAATCTTACCATCATTTTACATTATTCTGACTTGAGGAAATGTAGTAGCAGTTTAACCTTACTGTTTTAAAAAAAATAGATTGCAAGTGTCCTAGCCTTACTTTTTAAGCTGTTCAAAATGTAGTGCAAACTTGTAACTTCCGTTGAAAGGATTGCCTAGGAATACAATGCATACACGTTAATAATACGTTGAAATTTTAATATAGTTCTAGAACAATATGTGTATGCCTTGTAGGCAGAGGATACAAAAAGAGAGAAACAGTGATTTTGATGCTGTTTGCCTCTGTTACCATATAGGATCCTCAAATGTTAGAAGAAGAGAAAAATATTGCTAAAATTATAACAGTTTATTATTGTTGTGAAGATCATTGGTAGCCTCAGTTATTTTAGCAAGTGGTTCATTTTTTTTTCTTTACTGTTTTTTATATTCTTTCTCTGAAGACTTCCAAAACTGGTTTCCACTCCACTAAAGTTTAAAGGATAAAACATCTACAGTATTAATATAGACAGCCTGTTGGTGTGGGGTTGCTGAAATGAACCCTTCCAGTGTTCTGGTTCATGAAGTAAACAGAAGTATTTTTTGATTGCTCAGCACAGGTTTATTGATTGTCTGCATACTTATGCTGTGTACTGGGTCTGTAAAAAGGAGCAATACATGGCTCTTAACCTTCTTGGAAACTGTCACTTAGAGATGAGAACAGACAGGCCGCCCTGACGTGGCTGCAGTGTCATAAGCGCCATGGCAGCCAAGAGGTAGGCATCCAGCTAACTTGCCAGAGCTGCTGCAAACCCCTCTACAACTCAGAAGAGTGGATCTGCTCTGTCCTCCTCATAGATCCTGCTTTTCCTTCTTTGGATTGATTAACTCACGTGTGTAAATTTCAGCCCAACATCAGCATCATTTAGTTTACTAAATGAGATGTTCTCCTATCCAGGAAGTTGTCATTTTCTTTCTGAAGGAAAACGAAAGTTATAATATAAAATAAAGACACTGCCTATATGAATAGTTGGGTTGATCAAGGAATTGACTGGAATGTCTTGCTCTCTCTAAACATGTATGGAGTGACAATTTGCACAGCATTCATATAGTCAAATACCTTGAATATTAAAGTGTGCTGACTAGCATTATTCTACTTTGAATGAAGACATGTCACAATCTTAGGGTCTCAAACTCATTATTACTACTACTACTTTTAGTTTAAAAAACTAAAGGTTTAGATTAAGCAGTTGATACTAACCCCCAGAAATACTCATGAATGTTACATTTTCAAATACCATCTAGGCATCAAGCGTGAACCCATTTGGAAGACAGGCTTCCCCCTTACACAGCCTGTCTTGTTCTGCTGAAGATTTGTCTACATCCCCAAGTAACTACACAGTACAAAGAAAGTAAAGAATGCTGTGCACAGAGTACATTAAAAAGAAGAGGAGGACGGGTGTGACGTGTGTGTGTTGTGTGTGTTGGGGGAGGATAGTTAGTGGGGTGGGAGTGGGCTTCCACACAGAAATGTGGTGCATCATTAAGTGGGGTTTGGAAGAGAATGGGGAAGGGAATTCACCAAGAGAACATGACCAAAGACATGTAGGTGAGCTTCTGTCTACGTGTGACATTTTCCCAGCTTCCCTGATAGCTCAGTTGGTAAAGAATCTGCCTGCAATGCAGGAGACCCTGGTTCAACTCCTGGTCGGGAAGATCCACTAGAGAAGGGATAGGCTACCCACTCCAGTATTCCTGGGCTCGCCTTGTGGCTCAGTGGTTAAGGAATCTGCCTGCTCTATGGGAGACCTGGTTTCGATCTCTGGGTTGGGAAGATCTGCTGGAGAAAGGAAAGGCTACCCACTCCAGTATTCTGGCCTGGAGAATTCCATGGACTCTATAGTCCATGGAGTCCCAGAGAAAGGACACTGCTGAGCAACTTTCACTTCACAAGTTATATTTAATACAGACCTATGAGCTTATTAAATATTTTTGTGTCCACGACTAGGTTAAATCTCAGATTAGAAATTAGAGTTTATAGATGAAATACAAACTATGTAAACATCAAAATTTTGTTCTTATTACTTTGCCCATTTCTACTGTAACATTGAAAATATTTTCTGTGATTATATGTGATTTTTGGAGTTGCATCGAACTAGCTAGTAAGGATATTGACTTCGTTTAAAAGAAGGCATTTATATTTGGAGCATGTTGTTCAGTGTGTGCAAAAAAAGACTAAAATAAGCTAAATATCCCCAGTATTAGAACTGGACCAATCTCTTTCTTTTAGTGTATCCTCTTTAAACTCACTAATTTAAGATGATAAAGTGATCTTTCTTTAGTATTTACACTGTTTCTAATGCCATAGTGCCTGGTTCACTTTAAAAATTTGGATTTGTAGTTATTACTTTTCTTACCTATCACTCAGGTATCACCTTTGTGGAAGGTGAGGGGAAAACTATAAAATCCAAATGTTTCTCAGATGTTTCCAAGATGAGGTTTCAGTTTGACAACCTTTTACCTGTCTGTCATTTTGATAGCTCAGTTAACACTCAGACCTTGCATTTCAATGAAGAACTGAAGGAAGGGAAGGCAGCCCATTTATATAGCCCTTCCAGAGAAGGGCTTTATTTGTCTGTCTGTCCTGAAGGGCCCTTGGATCCGCAGATTGTCTATAGCTCGGTGCGGTCTCTAACTCTGCTTTTCATTGTGCTCCCCTTCTGAGAATCCTTGTCCAGATCTGGAGGCAGTCCACTCTACTGTGGCCCTTCTTGAGGAAGTGAAGACACTGGCAGCGGTCTTCAGGCTGACCTACCCTGTGGAATGAAGCACAGCAGGCGAGGTAGCCTGGTTCTCTGGATCGGGCTGGATTGTGACAAAGGCACGGCAGCTGTGCTGAGAAGGGGGGACGGCGGCTTCCACCCATGAATGTGAGTGGTCAGACATCGAGGAGATACACAGCTTTCATCTCAGACCAGATGTACCATATTGAGCACCATATTGAAAGTGCCTGAGCACCTTACGTTTACAGGCATGTACTAATAAGTCTTTTCCTTTCTCAGAATATAACTTTTGTCAAGTTGCAAGGAGTAATAATTATAAGAAATAATGCAGATTTCCACACCAAAAAAGAAAACCTACTTATCAAAAAGGATAAGTAGCTGTTGCTATGTATGTTGAAGCAGCAGTTACAGTTGTTACTGTATTACTTAAATATCTTCAGCAGAATTGCATCTCTTGAGAATGGCTGCTGCTGTAATCTCCATATGAGTCCAAGTATATGGTGAGAGAACCTTCTGCTTTTCAGGAGTTACTCTTTTGAGAAGTACCTGTTTACGTCCATACATCACATAAGGAGAGCCTCTTTGCTTCTTCAAGTCAATTGCACCTTATGTTTTCTGTCCAAAGATTAAATGGCCTGAGCACCAGATGAATAGGCAGACTCTCTGTCTTTGCTAAATGCAGGGTGGTGAGAACTTCAAAAGTTTATCTGAAACTTACCCTGATACTGGCGAGTTGGTTTTTTATGTGATGGTGGTGGTAAGTTGTGCTTCTCAAACTTTTTCATGTTCTGGGCTGTAGTCTTGAGAAGATCAGTCTCTCTACATGCCCTTGATCCTTCTATGTTGCACACAGGTTGGGGAATTATCTATTAAATACGTTGTTTTGTTTTTTTTTAAAAAACTTCCTTTCTGGTAATTCTTTCATTAAATGTACATTGAACTTCTGCTCTATACAAGTGGCCTTGCTGTTTCAGGACTGAAGATTTAATTTATGTCTATCTTCAGTCTGATTTTGAGCTGGAGGACAGCTCAGGCATCCTTAATTCTCACCTCACCTTAATTCTTCAGAT